TTACATCTCATTTTAAAGATTGGAGTAATTATGGTGAGACCTTCAATGATTGGAAAAGTTACTTCTATGAAAGCTGTAAGCTCTTGAGTAGGCAAAAGCATATTGGAAGTCTCAGCAAATCATATATACTAGAAATTTCTGGTATTTTTACCCCCAACTCCATCTTCCCTAGTTTTTTCTGCTTCTTTTACTGCAATGAACACTTTGGCTTATGTAATTTACGTATTTTTGTGTGTATGTGCACACACAGATAAAAACACATATATATGCATAGATATGTTTATACAGTATTTTAAAAGCATTTGACTCGTATATTAAATATAATATCAGTTTCACAAGAGAATTCTAATAGTCCTACAGGAAGTATCTTCACAACCTATGGAGGTGCTTGAAACAAACTATTGATGTCATGGTTCATTTCAGATTTCACAGTCTGTTTCTATCTCCTATCAAAATATAAAGTTCTACTTTTATTTGAAAAAAAAAAAAAAGCTTTTCTATTATCATAAAATGGTCATAATGGTTACAAAATTCAAAGTTATGGAATAATTAAATTGCCAATTATTAAAGTAACAAAATTCTACACTTATTTCATAACTGTTTCTCTTTGCAACCTCAGGTTTATCAATAGCACTTAGTAAATGCTTATGCATCTTTTCATTTCATAATTTTGTAATTCAGTGTGAGTAGTGCATAATTAGTCAGCATTTGAAACCTTCACATTACATCTATGTTACCAAGTTAAGACCAATGGGTCCAAATTTGTAGGACATGCTACCTGCTATATATGCATTTCAGGGGAAAGCTTCCTACATCTTTAGCAAGGTCCAGTCTGGTCCTGTGAAAACCCACTGTCAATTATGACACTTTTTCTGGTTCAGTTTAATTAAAAAAAAAACAAAACAAAATCCACTTTGCATGAATTCTGCTCTCTCTTTTGCAGCTCCAACTAAAACTTACCAAATCCACCAGGTTTGTTTTATTAGCTTGCCATGTTTCTCTCCCACCCCTACAAAGGTTGAGCATGTGTTGAATTCATCCTTCTTGTGAAGATGTGAGCATCCTGGGGTTTGTCACTCTTTTTCCTGGCACCTTCAAATGACACCCATTACCCACCCCACTTGTTTTCACCACTGATCTGTTTCTTCAGGATAACCAAACCTGTGAGCCACTAGTGCAAATTTTGGGAAATTAAAGGACAACAAATTCCACCCCCTCCTCCCCCCCCATGCCCCAAGAGCAAAACAAGTAGAAACAAATTTTGGAGAATACGGTTTGTGAAGAAGGTATGGTAACACTAAAGTTATAATTGTAGCTATCCAGTGATGGCATCATCTGTATTAATGTGGTATTATCCATGTGACCATTCTGACAAATTTGATGCATCCTCGCATCCCTTAACATATGTAGGTTTATGCTGAGCTGTATGGTCTAACTAGTTGCCACACTAATATGGCAAATTCCTTCCAGATACTACCTCCCACAATCAGAACACCTTTGTCTTGTCACAGAGATTTCATGGAGCTTTAAGATAAAGGTAAAACATAAATTTCTGAAGGTTTTGCTTTTAGTTATAATAGAATTTTCTGAGTGATGAGTTTTCTTTTTCAAAAGAAGGAAAGAGGACTGACAGGGCTGTGCATTTCACTGGTGAGAGCTAGCTTTGAGACCTCCTTCACAGCTAAATTTGAGTACTTGGAAAGACAAGACCAAGTAGATGCCAGGGTTTTGTTTAATGATAGCATTTTAAAGTTAGCAATTGAAAGCCAATAAATGACTACTGTTGCTATGTAATACAGTAATCTTACCACTGCTGACTGAGAAGAAAGATGACCAGCAGAACACAGAAGACTAATGCCAAGTCCTTTTGTTTCCCTTGATTTTCTGATGTGGATACCAGTTCAGCAACTTGGATTAGAAATCTGAACAAAAGTGCACAGCATGTACATGGAGAACTCTTGGGCCTTCTTGAGCAGACTACAAGAAGACAATGGTCTGAGCAGCAGGGTGCAGAAGTTGCAGTAAAAAGTGAACCACCCTATGGACCAGACACAATCACGGGTTGCCAGTTGGACCATCCTGCTCCACCAACACCAGTGCCAAATCCACCCTTCTCAAGAGTCATAAAGAGTGAGTCAGTGTTTGAAGAACCTAAGCTACATGTATATCCATGTTGCTACCTAAGTTCCAGTGTGTTTAGAAAACAGACAACAAGCTGCAGTTAATCCCTCAATGAAAGAGCCAAGACTGCAGTAGATAAAACTGTGGATGACAGCAATAGTTAGAAAAGCAAATTGTGGCAAGGAAGTAAGTTAGCTGGGCTGTGAAGACTATGGCCTACCTGTAGAGAGCTGTAGGATCTTAAAAGAAATATATATACATATATAACAAAAATTCTTTATGAGTGGTCGGTGGTTTGGACCATATGGTCCAGTGGTTTGGACCATAGCATAAGATGAAGAAAAAGGAACTGAAGAGGCGTAAGAGATATAACTAGAACATTTATTTACAAGGGACCTCATCGCTACAGATGCTCCTGTTCCAGGAATGGCAACTTGAAACAATGTGCTAACAGTCCTTGGGCCATGAAAAAAGACAAATCTACCTGGATGCAGCAGGCCACCAATTAAACAAAAGGGAACATAACTACTTGGAATAAAACAGCAGTTGCAGCAAACACATTTTGGGGTGTACAGATAACGCAAGCATATAAAGATATATATTTAACCAGAATCAGCATATTTAGTCTGATACTGTTTTTCACTGCTTTAAGAAAGGTTAATGGAAGTATGCACAAAATTACACTGTCAGGATACAAAGGGGTAATAGTTTTCATGTGGCATATTCTAGCATCAAGTGCATGAAATCCCAAATTAACAAGCTAAAAGTTTTGTGCCTTTTATTTGTGATGTCCCTAAGACAGGAGGATTTGTGACTATATATGGGTGTGTAGACAAGAGATTGCAACTGACATTTTGAGCAAAAACAAACAGAGCAAAGACAGGCATGACTGATTGTTCCAACAAACATCAGGCAATTTTACAATGCGTATGCAAGTCTGAAAGCTCTCCAATTTTCAACTACGTAAAACCAGCTCACCCAAAAGCTTTTTTAGTTCTGCATTGCTTACTTCTTTTTTTACAGCACTGTCACTGCTTAAGAATTAAATGGTACCCCCTAGAAGAAAAAAGGTGAGACTTCTTTTTGTAATGAATTAAAATTACAAATGTTTTATTGGTATGTTTACAAATATTTTAGTATGTTTACATTGTCTGAGCCAAAATGTTGCTATTTTAAATGACCACAGAAAATGAAATATAGAATTGTTTTACACAGCTATACAAAACAATAAAAAAAAAAATCCTTTTAGCATTATTTCAGTACATACAACATTCTTTTGCTAAGCCAACTACATGTTGATTAAGAGCTGTTTGGGACAGTTTTAAATACCACAGCTCATAGCAGATGCTCCATAACCATCACATTTTGCATTTGATTCTCTGAGGTGCAGTACCAGTGTATCAGTTCAGTCCACTCAGTTCAAAATACCCTCTCTTAAGTTCAAGAGAGCTGTGCGCAGGCAAAATTCAGAGCAGCTGGGAAAGTGAAATCTAACTGCTGTCTGAAGGCCAAAACACAGGGATGTGATGTAGTTACTTACAAGTTTGTTTTTTCATCTTAAGCCATGCTGTGTCAACTCTTCAGGCCATTGGGACAGATGATTCTTCTTACTCTGTCACATCACTCTGGGCAAGCACATCGAACTCTTATAAAGATGCATGTGCCCCTGCGCAGTTGTTCTACTACCTGTGACCCCCTGTTTAAGGCTTAAAGGGCCTTAGACTGCCTGGTTTACCCCTGCGAGCAGATTTTACCTTTTTTTCCTAACTTTTCTAAACAACTCCTTGTCCAAGGTAGCACATCAGCTGGGTTTTTGAAAGAACACCATTGCTGTGCCCTAGTTCTGTTCCAATTGATTTCAGTGAATGGACGAATAGAGCTGTACTGAAGACTTGAGAAAATGCCTGTGTTCAGTACTGAGATTTAATCTTAGCTAGAACTGTATAAGAGCAGAAAATACAAAAAGTCTACTAATATGCATATATTAACTCCAAAAAGTGGACAGTATATCTTAGCTAGAACTGTGTAAGAGCAGAAAATACAAAAAGTCTACTAATGCATATATTAACTCCAAAAAGTAAACAGTATATCTGCAAAACCTAAATGCCTGACTGAGAGGACTTGTCTTAAAGAATTAGTCCGGGAAAAAAAAATGAAAAATATGTTACACAGTTGCCAATAAAACAGCTATATTTTAAATAAAAATAACAATAATATACATGTACAATATTGTAATGCTATAACTTGATGAAAATAATACTGATCAGTATCAAACTTAGTATTTAATTGATTATCCATCCTTAACAGATGAAATGCATTTCACAGTAATAGATGCAGGCAAGGTGAAGTGAAGTGATATTCACGGCTTACCATGAGTAAGTTACCGTGAAAGTTCAGGTAAAAATGCAAAGAACAAAACTTTAAATAGATTTATATTTATAAAAGTTCAGCATTGTAGCGGCTGGGTGCATGTGTTGCAGGAAGATGGCAAGAGCAACCTAATGGTAGACAACATATACACTTGCATACACACTCACACACAGAAACACATACGTGCCCATGCTCAAAAGCATGTGCATTGGTCCTCAGCTTGATTATAGAAGCATACCCTTACTAGCTATTGATGGGGGAAATACTAGGAATGGGGTTCACCTCTCCTGTTTGCAGCTGTCTGCAAGGTAGCTGTAGCTACATAAAGTCAGATGAGATGACACCTATCTAAGGTTAACATCAACTGAACATTTTAATGAAAACTGCTTTCACCCTGAGCATATTTAAGGCACTTTATTAAAAAATCTGAAGTTAATAGAAACTGGGAAAAAAAAAGTAAAAATCGTTACATGTGAAATTCGGAAATTAAAAAAATAATAATTCCTGAGTCTTGATAAATATTTTTATTGCAATAAAATACCATGACTATTGAAAACATGTCTTTTATAAAAGCATGTTATACGACATTTTTTCTTGAAAAACTCATGCTTCAGTGCATGAAATATGTTAATAAGTCTTTGGGGACATCTGTAACAAATTAATAGGAAATGAAAAGCCAATGAATGCTCTGTCATGTATGTACAAAACATGCATTGCTCCCGGCAACACACATCATGTTTGCTACAGGCATCTTTACCTTTCTGTTTTCTTGCAGGGTCCTGCCCATATTTTAATACTTTACAATTATTTATGCTTCACTAAACTATTTACAGAAGCAGAAACTAATCACACATCTTCTTAAGCCCATAAACACAGAACTACAGAGACAACTGCACTACATAGTACTGTTCTCTACAGGTACAGTTTGTGAATAATTTTCTTCATGAAGATTTAAATGAAAATAGAAGTTCAAATTCTCTCTGTTTTCCTTGGGCACATTCTTTTGCACCTGCTATTTTCAGAAGATTTTGCCCCAAGACAGTATTTGTATTGTAAAAACACTTGTAAATTGTTGCAAAAGTATCTCAAGTAAAGAACCATGATGCTCGTGAATGCCCATTGTTTACACAGGATACAATCAATTTGTTTTCAGTTCAAAATAGCTGATTTCCAATACTAGCCATCATCTGTATGGTTCTAGTAGTATTAATTTTTACTTTTGGTATATTTTTCTTTCCTCCACTGTCTTTAAATACAAATAACATGGAAACAGTGATATGGACCATACCCAGAGTGCTGCCAAATGCAATGAACATGCACAGTGGTTACAGAATGGTACTTATAGAGGGCATGGGAGGTTCTTTCTAACACTAATAGGTAAAAACAATAATCAGAGTAAAATGCACTTGTGATTTAACTGCATCCTTTAATATTTTCATTAGCTATGTCTAAAATATCCCTGATAAAATTCTACTTTTTTTACATTCAACTTCTATTACGATGTATTTCATGTTTTATTTTAAAAAATCCCACAATAGTGATGGTGGTTAATCTGCTTCATAAAAGATAATACACTAAGTTATATATAATAATGTCTTTGATCCAATTAACATTATATTATACTGCTCAGTAATTACTGTGACTTCAGTTCCTACAACTGTTATAGTGAATACAAATGATTGTTTAATGTACAGGAAGCGGGTTTCATTTGGAAGTGCTGATACAAAAGTATTCAAGTGCTAACAATGAATTGTTCTTTCTACATTTTTCTTCATGTTCCATAAATGACGATTTTATATATATCTGTCGTTTTCAACGTGACACAATTTTGGGCAATTTCTTTTAATGTTCTTTTTCCGTGCAAACACAAAACTAGATTTTTCTAAACGTTACCATCTCATTAAAAGTAATTGCCACTTTTACTTGAAAAGGCACCAGCATTAATGTAGGAGAACATATCTTTTATGCTTGTTTTATGAAGAGCTGTACTTGTTACTGGAGCGGAAATTATCATATCCGTGATCATTAGCTTTGAACTTTAGGCAGGACTGCCTTTCCTCCAGGGACAACAGATCTTTGGATTGGCACCAGCAACACAAGCATGACTGTTAAAATAAAAGGGATAAACACTTTACATCATTTTGTTTTGCACATGTGGCACACGCACTGAAAAGCTGCCCTTCTTCAGTGGTACAGTAGGAAATGGCAAATGTACAAGCTGCCATTTTCAGATTACAACATGAGCAAACAAACAAGGTTAAGCTCCACATTGCTCAAATGGTCACTATTGTGATGCCCCATTAGCAACCTGCGTGCTGAAGGGCAGGAAGAGTTATATTGAGTTACATATATTAATAATAGCCACGCACATGCCGCTTCAAGTCTAGTTTGTATTCCTAAATGCATCTGAAAATAAAATTATGATTCCTTATTGTCCTTTCTCTGATAAATTTTCTTGGGAAAAATGTATGCTCTGTAATCTACACTTTCTAGGCAAGATGCTATTTTTTTCTTTTTTTTTTTTCTTTTTTTTTTTTGAGGGGAGAAAAAGAGAACCAAATAGGAGAATGGTAAAAACCTACACACAGTTTATACATTTACTAGATATACTGCAGACTTTTTGCTGATGCTACTGACTGGTCTTTGGGTGCTGCAAGTCCATCTGGGGTCCTGCATACTCACTTCTTTCCATGCTCAGGAAGCTAGAGCTCTCTTACATGCTCCCAGCTCCAGTGATTCTTTCAGGGGGCCAGCAGTGTAGACAGGGAAGGCAAGACTTACAATAAAGTCTCTGCAACATGTGCTGTCACAGTTATTTGGGAAATACACTAATGCTACTAGATGTAGAGCTGATTGGTTTCTGTTGGAAATATATAGTCAGTAAGGAATTCAACACAGCCAGGCAATAAGCCTAGCAGTGGCCAACAGTTAAATGCCTAGCAAGAAAAGAAAATCTAAGAATTTGTGGTAGACAATGTAATAACTCTGATACAGTGTATGAAGACATCAGAGGCCATAAAAATAAAAAATCTGGACATGAAAGTGGAAAGACAGATGGGCTGCAATCCACATGTGATCCAAAGCCTTAAATCTTGTGTGAAGAATTAGGGCCCAGGACTGTTCACGTAAACCAACAGAAAACTACAAACAGGTCTGTCTCAAAATGTTGGCATTGGAAAAGGATGGGTGGATACTTGCACCCTCTGCCTTACCTAACTGCCTACTGATTAAAGCACTCCATCAGGATGGGGAGAACCTGGGGTCAGCACTCTCCCTGTTGGGTTGCAGAGGATATGGCTAAGTGAATCTCTGCAGCTCAGTCTGAGTCTGCTTTGTCAGTGCTCTACAAGTGGCTGGGTGCCAGCTGGGTGTCAGGAAGTGATGTACCACTGATTAGCATGGTGCCAAAAGGGTTTATTATACACTCCACTCTTTTGCTTTCTCTTTTGTCTCTGTGAATCCTTAATTCCTTTCTATGTAGTTTCAACAGGGAGAGAACACCTACAATAACCCAGTTAAAATTTCAAGTCAAATTTAATGACCATTTAAAACACTTTTGCATGCTAAGGAATGAATTTTACTGCTGACATCATCTTTTAACCAGAGGAGCAGCTCTCAGCAGCTTCTTACCTTAAAGCAGTTTTGGAATCTTTTGCTCACCAAATACAGAGCTATCGGATTGATGCAGGAATTCAGTGAAGCCATGTTAATACCAATGTAGTCCATCACAAGAAAAAAGCTGTGTGGAAATTAAAGTAAGACACTTCACATTTTTCTCTGAAAAGGTTTAATAGAGGTTTACAACTATGAAAATTTGAGTCGGCTTCACTCAACCAAGACTAGCTAACATAACAGTAAAGGGTTTTATATCAACAGGATTAACTCATGGAGTTTACAGTTGTGCTCAATAATTAAGTTTAACCAGTAAGATAATTCTCATGAAAGTAATTTCAGAAGATCCAACCACTGTAGCTTGTGGGAGGAAATATTCACAAGGTTTTCTTCACAGATTTAATCCTAGCTGTTCTGTTGAAAGAGAAATGGGGATAGAAATTCCCCCTCCACCCTCATAATGCCACAAGACATTAGGACAGCCCCAAAAGGGATCAAGGAGGAAGACAGGGCAAACAGGGGGATTGCTCATAGTTTTCTGACTTTGCTACTGGATCAAAATCAGAGTGTCTGGATGAAGTAGCAGGGAAAACTTCAGACACACAGAGTAACCTAGTTAATTAGGAAATCCAAAAAAATCTTATGTAAAATGCCATCAGCGCACAGGCATTTTATTTCTGCAATCTCACCTTAAAAGTTCACATCTGTTGGGGTCTTTCTGATCATAAATAGTGAGTTTCAATATTCTGCTTAAGTGAAGTGGGAGCCAACACAAGGCAAAAACAAGTACCAGACAGAACACAGTTTTGGCCACCTCACGTCTCTGAAAAAGAAAATTGGACAGAAGAGTTCTAGTTTCTGTTTCTTGGTTGCTGTTGTCTTTTAATATCCAATGTTCAATAAACAAACTAAAAACCCTATCAAAACACAGGAGTTTGAAGAACATCAAATACCTTATTTTCTTGGAATGTATACTCAATCTTTTCTATTGTTTTAGATGTCTTGCACTGATTCTCTATATATCCAATTTTAAAAAGTATGAGTAATAATATGTTTGTGTCTGGTGCACTACTAACTTGGACTGTATTTTGGCATGTTTTTTTCCTGATAACATATACTGCTAACCTTACTATAGTTCAGCATGAAATTGCTTCAAAATAGTTAACAGGTTTAGAGGACAACTTCAGTTTTCATTACAAAATATCCAGTTCTCACTATTGTGAAGAAATAAAAACTATAAAATCTGAAGCATTAACATCAAACAAGAAAAAAACCACAAACCACCAGTTTTGTGATTGAAAGTTAAAATCTTAGGTTTCTGGGGGCTCTGATATATATATAACTATATATATATCTATATCTAAGAGCTCAGCAACACCACTACTAGGAAACTTCTTACTAATAATCTTGAAGTCATCATACAGGAACAGAACAATTATGTGAAAGTAAAGTCATTAAAGGTATTATTGTTAACCTCTCTACAGACAGCAGAGTTGTCAGGGATAATTTCTTACCTGCTTTAAGTGGTCGTTTAAAGCAATCTGCATCCCACTTTTCTTTCGTAACATCTCACAGGTCATAAGAGTATAGAAAAATGCTGTAATAGCCAGTGGCAAACAGAAGTAAAAGCTGAACAGCCACCAGTCTTTAGCTTGCTTGTAAAACTACAAAGAAAACAAAAGCAAAGCTGTTGTTAGGAGTTGAATGCTAAGCATTTTGGAAAGTATGCTATAACTAGCTGGTCAGTCTGTCCAGAAAAGCATCTCTATAAGGTGTAGGTTACAAAATAGGACAAGTACTATGCCCAAAGCCCCAAAAAAGTTTCTGGGTGCTCTTCTTTTAACCAATATACTTCAGGAATTTGTCAGTATTTCATTTGAACGTCATATTCACCTACACTTGTACAAATTACAATCCACGCAATGCTAAGAAGATGGAAGGAACTGTTCTGGAGACTTAGTAAATGTCAGTCAGTGTCTTACCATCATAAAGGATGTTTTCTGTGTGGGGTGAAGCAGGCAGATTCTAAGATCCTTTCCTCTGTACTCCATCGTAATCATGTCAAATGCAATAGCTTCTGGAACAGCCAGTATCACCGACAAAACCCAGATCAGTACAATTTCAACAGCAGTCCACTTTGGCACTCCAATTCCTTTAATGCGACTCCAAGAAGCAACTGCTCGGTACCTGAAGCAACAGCACACATTTGGAAAAAATAAACCTGGTTTAACTGGCAACCCCACTTATTCATGTTGTGTCAGCACAGTAGAAAGGCAAATTTGAGCCCATATTGAAAAGCAATTAAGAGAGTTTGATGAAAAATGGGTCTCACCTATCTATACTGAGGGCACACAAACTCAGCACTGTGATGCCCACTGATGCCTTTTGAATGAAGGGTACTAATTTGCACATTTCAACACCGAAGGGCCAGTCCTCTGCAAGTAGCTGTGAAAAGAAAACAACAATTAGAAATAAACTGTTTTTAAAAAATAATTCCTAAAGCTGAAACACAGACCTTTGTCTTGACTATTTTTCTTTTCTGCCCTGTAAAACTTAGTCAAGAACTGCCTTTTCAGAAGGGAGTTTCCAATGTGTGTGTCCTAAGAACTAGCCAGTAGCTTTACAGTTACTCCCTGGCTGGGCAAGAACATGCATAAAGGCTTAGTCCTGACTTCTTAAGCCCCATGAACTCTACTTATTTTGCTTCCAACTTCACCACTCCAGTGTTTATGTGCTTTTCTTATGTGTTCAAGTAACTCTCCATTTACTAGAAATACAGAAGATTACTTAAGGCTGAGCAGAACAGGGCAATGCTAAACAAGTGCACATCTGGAGTGGGGTTTATTTGAAGCTTGGCATCTAGGTTCCATCAGCTAAGAAGTCAAGCAACGCTGGAGAGAAATGAATCCCATAGTTCTTAGCTGACCATCTGATAATGAAAGAAGGGACCTACTGGATACTAAGGGAGGCTAAACAGTTTGCTTGGTATTAATATTTAGCAGAAGGTAATGATGGATCAGATTAATCACGCACTGAAGATCTTTACTGACCAGTTTTTTCAATGATTCTTTATTACAATACTGAAAGGACTATCTGCGCATTAAGCATACTTGTAAGTGCTACAGAATAAAAGAGCTCAATGATTTCAGATTGGTTCAATTGCACTTTAGGTTATACACTTTAATGGAAATCTGTCACATCCCGTTTTTACATTTTAGCAGTACACTTTAGCTGATTTAGGGGACAGGACTTACTGGACACAGCAAGCACCTTCCCAGCAGCTGATGCTATGAACTGTTTGCCTCCAGAAACTGTTGCACTTCAGAAACATTTAAGCTTTGTACTCTGCTGTGAGCTCAATATAATGGCTCAAATATATCACAGCAGCAGCCAAATATTCCAATTACTCATAAAAAGAAGACTCTTTAGAACAGAGGTTATGCCAAGAAATAGTCGCAATCATTATATATGAAACTTTCTGAGTTTCTGTAATTAGTTAACGTTATCTAAAGCCATTTCTGTTTTTCGTAACTTTGTTTCAATGAGGTCTTTTGGATCTGTTGCAGATTGTGGGCTACAAAATGGAAGAGGAGAGGAAAGAACAATAACTATCCAAAAGATGATTGCAAAATCCCTCCCTTGGCTCAGGTCTCCTCAGACATCTTAGAAGGCTAAAATATGAAAAAGAAGAAGAAAGAAGAATGGTAACTACCCAAAAAGAGATTGCAAAATTTTCCCTTGGCTCAGGTCTCCTCAGATATCTCATTTACTATTGATGTACTATAAGAAGAAATAGGTCATCATACTGTATAGATTCTGCTGGGGACCAAAATGACTGAAGATTGATAGCCACAGAGTTGCCTGCTCAATTGACTTGGTTCAGCAAATTCCTTTAGCACACATACACATGCATCCCAGAATAAACAATCACAGGGTCAACAGTTTTTTAAAAGCCCTGATAATAACTTAAATATAATTTTACTTTAACACGAACAAAGATAAGTACACTTCATGACAATGTGCTTTTGGAAATACCAATAAAATGCCCACCAGTATTTTTAGATAGCAGAATACCTTTCAAAATCTGCTTTAGTCCTATGCCAAAATGGGACCTTCTATTTCTTCAGTGATCTACTCAAGTAAGACAAAGAGTATAATGCTTCTGCAGAAATGAAGCAGAATATAAATTCTAGGGATTTATGTTTCTTGAGAATTTTATGGAAAGTAATAAAGCAGAGGAAGTAGGGATGAGGTTGTAATAACCATACAATATCTTTTTATTTATGTGATGTGGGAAAAATAACTCAATCTGTAATTAAAGTTATCTTCAGTAAAGCCTCTCCCTAAGACTTCTTCTGAATTGCTGTAAGGGGGTGATAGCAACAAACTACTATTAAAATTGCTATGTGAATCATTACAGGTGTTCTAAATGTACACTTTACATAATCTTATGACACCTGGACTCATTTAATTTATATCAATCAGGCAGTGAGCCTCCAGCCTACCACATGTAATTGCTACAGAAATCAAAGACTTGGTAGCAAGTACATTTTATACTTGTTTATAGTACCTGTTACATATTGTACATGTGTACATATTAAACCAGAGATGACTCATTAAAAAAAGCACTTCAAAATCAAAATGTATTTTTTTCTTCATTGAACTGAAATTAAGACCTTTGGTCAAATTTCTGTTGGCACATTCTGTTGGCACAAACCAGCTACAACTAGCTGGTTTACATGCCGAGACACTCCCTTGTCTCTCTTCCCTAAAATCACAACAGTTCAGCCACATGTTAGAGATTTCCCTGAACTAATGCTTATCTCTCAGGTGCAGACAGTCACACCTGTGCTCCAAGCTGACTGGATTTGAGCCAGCTCCAGCTTGGAACCCGTATGGCTGAATTAGCATAGGACTGTGCATGAGCGAATGTGGTCAACTGAGAGAAAGGGTGCATTAGCTTGGGTTTAGCATAACATCAAAATATGACTTGCATTTAGCTAGTTTAAATCAGGAACAGAATGGACACACAGCTGTCTGCATTGGATTGGAAAAAAACATCTCCATTATCTCTTGCAGCTGATGTATTGTGATACTTGAGCATTTTAATGCACAAGTCACAAGTCTCTCTATCATGGTATTGCAAGCAGCTAATGATACGCTTGCAGCAAAAGCTTGAAAATGTTAAAGTAAAAGGGGAAAAAACAGTGTTTTAATTGCTGAACTATGCTTCTTTGTTGTTTCTGCTTGTCCTATGTATTGCCATCTCCTTAAAACACTGCCTTAAAGTACTGTGAAAAATCACTGTATTCAGGAGCACCATATTTGTGGGCAAGAGCCATGATTATTCCTAGTGAAGTACAGATGCAGCCTAATGCAATTTTGCATGGGTAAAACGGTTTTCTTGTAATTCATAATAAGGTATCTATACAAAGATTGCAACTTCACAAATGACTTAGAGCAATGAGCTACTGCCAAGTGGCAGCAAAGAGAAAAATAATGTTGCGTTTTCATGAGTAAAATGCCAAGTTTACCACTGTCTGTATTCCAAATGACCTTTTCCAATGTTTTATAGTCACTTAGTGGCTGAAGTTTTAACTCCTAAGCCATAGAGACGTGCTGAAGATGAAATGAAATAGAACAAAGGGAAAGGGAATACACTGCAGAATGAAGTGAAATCATGGTTAAAAGAAGCAATACCTCTGATGCACTCCTATAGACAACACTTTTCTCAGACCAGACAGAGATCTAAGCCTAAACCGATGTAAAAGTGGCACAGCTATGAAAGCAGCCCCAAAAGATGGTGTGACTCAGAGACACACCTGTGAATTACAATTCCTGCCCTGCTTCCTCTTGGTTGTGCAAGAACAAAAAGATATTCATAATCTGCTGCCACAATATGCCAACATAGGAGCACAATATGCTGCTTTCAATAGCTCAGCTGTTGTGGCCACCAGCCACAAGGCTGATGCCATGGCTTCATTCCACAACTGTTGACTTGCTACAGTCAGACATGAAGAAGTAGTAAAGTGTGCACTTACATTGGTGTTCTAGTGCTGAGCAATGAGTGCATGTGAAACAGAGCAGGAATTCCTATTTCCTCCTAGCTGTGTGTTCACAGCAAGCCTAGTTCACAGGGTAAGAAGACAATCTTCATGAATGCAGCGTTCCACAGGAAATCAGACGTGCAACTGTACCCCCAATACACAAGCAATATTTTTTCCATGTATCTGTGAAATGACTGGCAGATTTTCACGTGATACTTTCTGAGATGGGGAGGTCATGCAGACAGATAAATAATTTTTTAGTATTTCATAGGAGCAAGCATTTTTCAAAACAGGAAATTTGCCCAGGAAATTAAGCTTAGTCAGGGATAAGCCAGACTTTACAAAACTTATTAATATTTAACAATAATTATGATGTCAGGGTGGGGATATCCACTCTAGACAAGAAAATACATTTCCTAGTTAAGCTGAGAACTTTTTACATGTTTAGAATAGAAGTGTAAACCCTATGTTTTTAATTAGTAACTTCTGCTTCAAACATTTTTTTAAGTGCTTAATTAAAAGTAATATCATACAGACATATTGAAAATTACTGAAACCTCATAATGTGTTGCTGAAGTAAAATAATTCTGTGATTTCACAATCATGGTTATAGGACTGCAACAAAAAAAAGCATTAAGAAAGCCATACTGCTGTCAGACTGGGAAGCATAAACACAGGATAAAAAAAAAAAACAAAACCCAACAACCCAAATAAGGGGATAACTTGTTTTGAAATTTGTCACATGCATCTTTTAACTGAATGTATACACAGCAAAATGTAATAAAAAAAAAAACAGATTTACAAATCTGTTCTGACATCAACTGACATGCTTCAGTTTGGAGGTCCATCATGAAAACTATATATGTGTACTTTAAACAACATATTGACATTTCCACTACTTCATCAACCGGACCTCAGAATAGATTGTTGCCACCTAACTACAGAACAGTTACCCCCCATTGCCTGTGAAGTCTAGACAGATTCATCTTCTGGACAATTCTTTCTTTCTAAGTGCCTGTACGCTGCACTTGTTGACCATAAAAGGATCCTAAGCAAAACAGACTTCTAGTTTAACGTGGTCAGAGATCAATGAATTTTATGTAAGAAATTCTGAGATGAACCTTGCAAGACCTCAAGTAAGTGGTTCAGATGTTGACAGAAAGGAAAGAATACATTTTCCCTGTAAAATGGCATGTTACCTTTAAGATCAGAAGAACCAGTGGCCAAGAGCTGTCATATGGAGTACTAACAATGTTTTCTAAAGATAAGCACCTTGACGTTCTTGGAAATTTGGGCAAAGACTGGCTTCATCATGATGCATGCCCTATAGGTACTTGAATTACAAGTTAGTAAAGTCATCACAAAGACATTTCCATATGAATCTCACCCTTTTTAGAGCACAGCTGGATTAACAAAGGCACCTGTTCACACCTTTCTGGAATATGTAGTCCCTGATCTAGTCTTTTTTATATTTCCAGTGCTTAATAATGCTTTATGTTAACAGTATTTTTTATATAATCCCTAAAATACATTACTGGGAAAAAAAAAATTAATCATTGCCTTGATCAAAAAAAAAACCCACAAACAACAAGGCCATTTACTGTGGCCTTTGCTCATTGGCTTGGATAAAGACAAGGTTTTATTCCTTCCCTGGTTCTTTTTTTTTTTTTCCTGTGCTCTTGAAGTATGCTCTGAGATAAAGGAAGCTGTGACAGTATTTCTAGGCAGATATGCTTCCTCAGTCATCTGTGTCATAGCAAATTGATAAGAGTTCAGAAAGCCACAAAAAAGTGTACAAAGGATAGATTGTTCCCCTGTTAAAAATCTACTGGAACATGACAATAAATTGGACTTAATATAAGAGATAAATATTACAAAGTGAGAGAGATGTCGTCTATATATCAGAGGAAAAAGCATGTTATATTATTTGATTACAGCTTTTTAAAGTCTATGTTCCTATCTCATTACACATACACATACATGCATGAGGGGCAGAGCTAATGTAAGATTGGAATTTCCAATCTTATGTTATTTTAGAGTTTCACATGCAGGAGTTACCAACTTTACTGATCTGGAAAAAGAGCATAAGCCTTCCAGATCTGCAGATCTGTACTGTTAGGCATACAAGCTGCCACGGTCTTGTTTTCCAAAGACTAAGTGCAGAGAAGGACATAAGTTCACCAACCACCTACTCTACCCTTCTGCTCCTCATGTCCACACCTTTAATTGCTGTCTCAAATTAACAAAAACATGCTTGTCTGTTTAGTGAAGCAGTTGACTAGACATAGGACTACCTTCACATCCAATTAGCAGCGATTTTGCAAAGCCTCCACACAGCCACAGCATTCTGTACCGCATAATGATTGTCTCAAGACTTTTCTTAGCATCTTATATATTGGACTGCATGTACCTCACAATCTGGCTAACACCTGCTTTTCCTTAGAGCCCCACAACGTAAGAGATGTAAATTTTCATTTGTTATGTTTTTTCAGCTACTCACATATTCACTTAAATAGTCACAGGGACATCTTTTGAAGTTATCACTTTAAAAAGCTAACAAAATGCTGTTCCAAGTGAGAATTCTGTGTTCTCCCATGTGTATCTGTCTGGAAAGCGTTCAGACACTTTCACACTTTCTACTACAAGTGTTGTTGAGTAAACTGCTGGCATTTTACTAACATGAGGAATTCTCTTATTCTCTTTCACGCAGTTGCTGAGGATCTGGTAGCTATTTTGAAGATTTGGTTCATCCAGTTTTAAAATGTTTCAAATTACAAGTTACAACTGTTTAGTATACTTGATTTACAAACGTTTATTCTTCCCCTGCTGCTGGGTAATCATAGCCAGCTTTACATTGCACTACTGTATCCTCTCTCGCAACAGTGCTCTGCGAGTGGAATTAAATGGGATGTAGAGTGGATAAAAAGTTATTATCAACTCAAACCACATACAAACTCTTATTTTTGATTAAAAAATACAATGTCTAATGTTGGGGAAGGTGGGAGGTGTTTGGTTTGTTTATAACTCACATCTATTCAAAAGTCCTATTTTAAAAAAAGCGAATATTTCACTACTATTGTAAGGGATAATACAAATTTAATATAGGATCTTCATTTAAGATGAGTAGCAGTGTGGGAGATTTAGCACCTGAGAGCTATTGCTTAACTCTTAGCATTATCAATAGCACAATAAATATCCCGGACTTTCAACTGGTAGCATATTTATCAGTTTGCAATCTGATGGTTTATTCCTCCCCCTCCAACCTACTTACTCAGAATGATACACTTGATGACATTAAATCAAGATAAGCACGGTCATATATCATGATTAATTTAATTTTGAAATAGTGTCACCGAGATTGCAAAGTCTTGTACTGAGCAACTGTCACTAAATCAATCAGTTGGACTTTCCTGAGAACAGATGAAAAATATTTTTGTTCAATACCTTTTTTTCACAAAAATACATTTTTTTAAAAGAGTTTAAAGTATTTTGTTTCATGAATTCCTCTCTCAGATGAGTCCACACTTCTCACAAAGGACTATGATAAATATATAGCACAGAAAATACTGAAACTCTAAATTGAAGAAACTGCCGTGTAATCCGAATTATGTGGCTGGCGAATTTAACAGTTATGATGTTCCGTGCTTTGTAATACTCCAATACTTTAAAAGGATAAAGATACAGGATTCTACCATTTCAGCAGCTTCTGAGAGTAACCACTAGGGATAAAGAAGACTAAATTCAAACCCACTCCCCTTCAACGTATTTTTTTCTAGAGCTAAAAGTAACAAACCCCAGAGTTTAAACACATGCAGAGAAGTGAGGAGATGACAGGTGAAGGTTCTCATGTTCACTTCAAACAGTAACTGATGAGGACACAGACTGTAAACTTTCAAGGCAGAAGGTGCCTCGTTATTTTCAGCATCCCTCCTAAGTGTGCTGATCCTAACCAGAGGCTGGATTCAACTGTTCAGGAAATATGGACTGCACAAGCTTGGTAGACAAGACAGAGATTGTTCTCCTTCTGTGGCAAGTCTCACCACGCCAAAGGTCAGAGTAACGAAGGTGCACGGACAGTTGCGGCTTACTACCTCTCAGCTGTCCAAGCTGCATCACTGGCGAACAGGGGAAAGAGCTCACAGCTCAGGAGAGCATCACGCTTCACAACCGCAGGATGTATAGAACTAATGCAAATCGCTCTGTTGAATGATTTTTGTAGCTCCTAAATAAAGGCCCCATGCCAACAGCGACTGTAGGGACCCAAGTTAAGTATTACGACTAAGCATGCCCCAGCTGAGCAGCAGGGACCGAGCGGTACTCAGAGGAAAGAGTCGCCTGTGCCCTCCCCTCCATTCCTCGGCAGAAAAGGAGGGAAGCAACGAATCCATCGCGCATTTACCTACTGCATTCATCACCTTTATCCCCGGGACAGCGCCTGTCTCCAGGGGACTTGCAGAGCCTGGCCTCTGCAAGTCACCTCTGCCACATTCCCAGCTCGGACCGCTGAGAGGGCTGCGACTGGGGCACGAGAGATTGTGCCATTTGGGACAACATCTGACCACACCACCACCCTCCGTCAGCAGCTTTTTGGCATGAGGTGAAGCCCCGGAGGTTTCCCAGCCAGAGAAGGGGCGCGTTTGCCCTCGGCCCCGCGGTGGTGCCCGGTACCTGCCGGGAAGCACCAAGAACGGGTGCAGACGCACTCCCTGCTCCCCCTCACCTTGTAGACGTTGATGGGGATGTCAATGATGATGTGGAGTAGGTCGCCCAGAGCCAGGCTGGCGATGAGGATGTTGGGGCCGTTCCTCATGCACTTGTTCTTGTAGATGATCCGCAGCAACGTGGAATTGCCGATGATGCCCAGCACGAAGACAAGGCAGGACACCACCGTGTTGATGTACTTGAAAGTCTCCTTAATCTCCGTCTGACCGGTGCACATGGGGGGCGAGGCCGAACGCGGCCTCCCGCCAGCCGCCCCCCCGCCCCTGGGCAGCGCGGCTGGGCGGGAGGCATTAGACTCGGCGCCCCTCACCGCAGGGGTCCCGGACGTCGGGCTCTGCCCGCCCGGGCCTGGCGAGCGCACGGACCCGTCGCCCTCGGCGGCGGCGCGGCAGCCGAGAAGCAGGAGCAGGAGGAGGGAGGGCAGCCGCCACGGCCGGGTAGCGGGCATGGCCCTACGGCACGGCTGATCCCCCGCCGGGAGACCGCCGCCGTCAGCACCGACCTGCGCGGAGAGAGGGGACCGGGCGTCAGCCGCGAGGACAGCGAGCCTAGGAAGGCGCCGATACCCGGGGACGGTGCCGGGGCGCTGCCTGCCACCGGGCGGGGACTGGTGGCGGAGCAGGCGGTGCAGCCGGCAGAGCAGCGCTGGGGCCAGAAGCCCCCTCCAGCAGGAGACCTGCTTGGCGCCGCCGGGCTCTGCCACCCGCTCCTCTCCCCCTCACCTCGCTGAGCGGAGCGGAACCGATCCTGCCCGCCCGCTGCCTTCGCGGCTCTGCCTGCTGAGCGAAGGAGACGCGCCCCGCCGGCTGCCTTGCCCCCAGGCTCTGGATGACTGCTCCTCTCCGTGTCACCGGGGCCGGCTGACGCCGCTCTCCGGCGATGGGCAGGCACCCCAGGACACGGAGCCAGGAAGGAGAGGGCGCTTGCGGCACAACCCGGCTGCCGTCACCGCGCACCAACTCCCGTGGCTAAAGTCGCGCCAGCGGGGTAGGGCCCCCCCCCTTTTCTAAAACATTCAACAGCATCTGGCCCATCAGTCACTGCCAGACCCCACCCGCAGCCTCCGCCCTCCCCGTCCCCCCGCCCCGCGGAGACCAGCCCGGCCCCTCCGCCCGCCTGCAGGCCCCGCCGCCCCGCCCCGCTGCTCTGCCGGGCGCCCCTCGGCTGGGGCGATCGTTGCCGCGGTACCTGTGGGGTCTGCACGGCGACCTGCCCGTTTTGCAGCCCGGCGGGCTCGTCCTGTGCTAAGTTAGCTGTGGCAACCTAATGAAGTCATTTTGCGGGTTTCGAAAGAGTGTTTTAAATCAGAAAGGACTGTTAGAAGGGGCTTTGGCATTGTTAGAGGACGCCGGGGGGGGGGGGGGGGGGGGGGGGGAAAGAGGGCTTTTCCCCCTTGTCCTCTCGAGCACTGATTCCCAGTAGCTGGGTAAGGTGTTCACGCTCACGTTTTATTCTGCGCTGCAAACAGCCCTCACTCACACATCCATAGTGGCACACATGCTGCTTGTGCAACTCCTACGTGTTTAACACTTTAAAGCGCTTCACAAACCGGGATACTTTTATATTCTTCTTAGAAAACAGTATTTTGACTGTTCTGAAGCTGCAGTCGTCCCTCTTGGTTATCTGGCTGCCGCTTCGGGGACGCATGGCAACGCATCTGATCTCCACGAGCTCGTTCCAATCCTTGCACCCATCAGTGAAGCGTAAGAGTGACGAGATTAGTACAGGATTTTATGGAGGCTACGAACAGCCTCTGAAGGTTGGAGACAATTGCACGTCTAACTAGAAAGAGCTGAATTTAAAGCTGGTTTCCAGCATCCCTACATACAGGTTTTTTTTTGTTTGAGTTGTTTTGTTTTTCTTTAAATCATGCTGGAAGCTGAATCGTATTCAGAACATGAATGTATAAATGCTTCAATACAGAAGTCACCTAAATTATTATCATACTTGTAGGGGAAAACACAGAGAACCAAATGTTTCTTTCAAAAATTGCCGGCCTCTCATCTTTACAGCATCTCCTGCTAACACCTTCTTGCGCTAATGTAGCAGACAGCCTTTTCTAATCCTCATTTAGCTTCCTTTTCACATCTCCATCTTCATTTAAAAGTCTGCTGTATCGAGCTCCTTTCCAACTTAATTTTTAATTTTTTTTATATTTTTATTTTTAAATTCTTGATCTTTTTCTTAATTAGGCTGGCATGCTCATTTTTCTTCCACATTTTATATTACAGTATTTGTAAAATAAAGACACCAGAGTCACTTCGTAACTGTGTGAGGGTAGCTGGAGGCTGACTGCACTCCAGCTGGAATACTGGTCTTTTCAGGTTCAGGCTTTTTCAGACTCTGCTTTGCAGCAGGGCTTGCTTTTCAGCACCGGGGCTGATTCCTCTCCCAGTGAGAGAAGTGTGAACATAGAATAAACCTTATAATATTCTGAGCCCTGGGAATTTAACCAAAGTCTTTTCAGTCTTCACTTCTGCATTTTCTCGATTTCATAAGAGAACAATGTTTTGCTAAACGCAGTATTGACTTTTATTGGAGAATCTTTGCATTAACTTTTAACATTAACATAGCATTAACATGCTTTTTACTTGCAAGGTTCTTGTTAAGCCTCAAAGGCTTCTGTGCTGCTCTTGACCAACAAGAAATAGATTGAAACCACACTGATTTATTTGCTAACATTTTTGTTAACACAACTCCATGAAATATGTTTGCTACTGCTTGGTAACACCAGCGTTGCTGCCACTTACTTCAGCTTCAAAAGTTTTAGTAATAGCAACTTAGGTTCAGAAATTTTTAGTAAGCGCGTATACAGAACTCAGGACAGCTGCTGCTACCTGAAGCACATTACTCTCTAATACTGCACAAAATAGGTCTATGTGACAAAGCACCGAAGCTGTTTCTGGCTGTAACTAACTAAGTTTACCACTTTTTTTGTTTCTACTCTGTTTTCTTCAGAGATTAGAATATTTGAGAAATTCGAAAGAGCATGTGCTGTGGTCCAAGTCTGCTTTAATTAATGAAAAAGTAAAGGCAAGCAGTTTTACAGAAATTTATGTAAGGATGAAGAAAATATCATATTAAACACTGAGACCACAGTGGACATCTTGGCAACTTAACTGTATCTTAAATGAAGAAGCAACTAGCAGGCTTAATCTAGATTGCAACAAGAAAAAATAATCTGTAAATATAATAGACCGGTGCCCCTTAAGTGACCTCTGCTAGTTATGCTATGAAATAAATTCCTTACTGAACTGTATGGAATTCATTATATAAGATTATGCAAACTGCTGCTAGTCTATATTTTTTTTTCTAGAAAGCAGAAACACCCCTTGTCCTATGGAAAGTTCATGTTTGTACAAAACAGAGAAAGCTGGGCCACCATCTAAAAGATCTTCCAGACTGTGTGACACTCATTTTATTATATTCTGCACTTTCAGTGCATTGCATCCCACAGGCTATTGAAAATTATATGAATTACAGCCAGTCACTATTTTAATTCTAAGTCAGATGCAACATTTCCATCAATACTTGTTAATGCTCTATTTTATTTTTTTTTTTCAATTGGCAGAGTAAAGCAAATATACTGAATAATTGTAACCACCACCAGAATGCTCTTTAACCGTAGGAAGACTTAAAGATTATTCTGTTACATGTAGTATAAATCATGGTAAGTGGTCACCATTACAGCACCAGAAAACCCTTTCATTAACAAGCTTATGAGACACACCACAGGACTGTATATTTTTCATGTTGTACTCATTGAATCCATGGGAATTTTTTCATGAGCTTGCAGGTACTTTTGCAAATTTCATTCACTTTCTGTGTATGTTGTTCAGCAATTAAGTAGCCTTGGAAATCTGCCCCATCAGACCTGCTTTTCCTTTCATTGAGTCTGGTGGAAATTTGCCTACTAACTGGGGCAAGTCTGGGATGAATAGAAAGAATGGCTGTCTCAGTGTAAGCCACACATTAGACGCAGGAGGTCAATTAAAGTAAAAAAATAGTTTTCTGTGTTTTATAAGTTAACACAGAAACGTTAATAATGGCAATTTTAAAGGAGTAAATGTACTTTGAGAAATCAAGAAATTAGGATATTGCAGTTTTGTAACTGCACATGTTTACATAGTGGGCATATGGTACAGAAGAGTGACATTATCTGCCTCATTTTTTCACCTTAGTCTAAATTTATGCAAAAAATATTAAATTTAGTGTGATGTGTAGCTATGCCTTGCGTCTTCTTTTACAAACCTAAGCAACTTCTATAAATGATAGTGTTGGCTGTCAATTGCAGCATATTTACCTTATACCTAAATCTTGAAAGAGTGGAACAACAAGTATTTTATCGTAAAAGGTTACAATAAAACAATAACAGTAGATATCACAAATGAAATATGAAGTTTGTTTGCAGATACCTGTTTTAATGTAGCTTACATTGTAAATGATTTCATACTTTATCTTAACACAGCAAGATGGGAAACAATGAAAGGCAATCAAATTTGTACTAAGACAAAATTTGTCTGTTTCTTATACTCCTTATTAATACGAATCAAGGTTTTTATACAGAATGAAGTTCAAGTCTTTACATCAGGCTGGTTGCTAACTGAAATCTTATTTTCCCATCTAACTTTAGGATTTAAAATAATATGCCAGTTAGTAAAACTTAGTCCTCTCAGCCTTCCTATTCAGCATCAGCAAAGGAAATCACAAGGTAAATTAACGTTCAAAAATTAATATAGCAGCATGTAATTAACTTGAGGCATAAAATACACTGAATCGCTGTCCATTAAGAGAAAAGCTACTGATATGGGTTTGGGAATGTAGCTGCAGGTTTGAAAGAGCAGCATTTCTGGATTTCACAGAAATTAAAGACACGTTTTTCTATTCTACCCCAATAGAATAAAGGTGACCCGGTTTATTTTCAAAATCCAGTTGCAGTAGGAGTTTGGGTCAGAATCTCCCAGGAAACCTAGATAAGATCAGTTTTTTAACAAAATAGGACCTTTTTCAGCTGCTGGAAAATGTCTGCACTTTTACAAAGGAGGTGGTAACTGACCATACATTGTTTATGTTTTTGCACAGAAATCACTACCCGCGAGCCTTTCAAGTCTGAATTAAATTCATTTCCAGACAAAATGTCTGACCTTAAAAAGAGGTGCATTCATGCACTTATCCATGCTTTTCTGCAAGTGTGTCCATGTAATACAACCTCAATGTTCAGAGCAATCCCAGGCACAGCTACAGATTGGACAAAGATGAGATTCAGAGCAGCCCTGCAGAGAATGACTTGGGGGTGTTGGTCAATGAGAAAATGAACATGAGCCAGCTTCACTATGTGCTCGCAGCCCAGAAAGCCAACCGTATCCTGGGCTGCATCAAAAGGAGCGTGACCAGCAGGTCGAAGGAGGTGGTCCTGCCCCTTTACTCTGCTCTCATGAGACCTCACTTGGAGTATTGTGTGCAGTTCTGGTGTCCTCAACATAAAAAGGACATGGACCTGTTGGAACAAGTCCAGAGGAGGGCTAGGAGGGTGATCAGGGGACTGGAGCACCTCCCGTATGAAGACAGGCTGAGGAAGTTGGGGCTGTTCAGCCTGGAGAAGAGAAGGCTGTGTGGAGACCTCATAGCAGCCTTCCAGTATCTGAAGGGGGCCTATAGGGATGCTGGGGAGGGACTCTTCATTAGGGACTGTAGTGACAGGACA